CACTTATCACCACTGCAGTATCTCCATATTCATGTGAAAATTTGGGTGCTTGGCAACTGACTCATATTTATGACAGTTGAAGTGTTCCAGGGGTCATGGGATGATCTTTTGTGACCTTCTGACAAGCAAAGTCAACAGGCAAGCCAGATTCACTTAACAATCATGTTATTAACTTAATAAATGCAGTGATTCACTTAACAACTGTTGCCCCACAGATCGTAAAAAGGGGCAAAATTCACAAGAAATGACTCACTTAGCAACAAAAATTTGTGGCTTAATTGTAACCGTAAGTCAAGGACAACTTGTTTGTGATTCACAATGACCACAGTAAAAATGGTTATAAAATCCCATCCAGTTATGTGACTCAGTTAATGACTGCAATGCTTAGTGACCAAAATTCTGTTCCTAATTGTGATCTGGCTGGCTGGGGAATTTGGGAGCTGAAGTCCACATGTCTTAAAGTTACCAAAACTGAGAAACACTAAGCTGGCTCCTTCCTGCTATCTAGTATTTAGCATTAAAGTTGATCAAAATAAACAAGGCTGTTTCTAAGGCAGCAGATTACAACTTTTCAATCACAAGAAAGTAAGGATGAAAACAAATATGTAATAGAACGAAGAGGCAACATTACTGCTACCATCTTCTCTTTAGTGTTAAGTTTCTACCTGAGGACTGTGTTCATGTCTTAGGAACATAAGAAGTTGCTTTTTGCCGAGTTCAGAATTGTCAACACACTGGCTGGCATTTCTGGCATGCCACTCCTGTTTGGATAGCACTTCTGGATTCTACGTGCTGGGCTAAATAGGTAGGCACATAAACATGTACACCCACACGAATAACAACATTCAAAATGTGTTCTTCCCTCAGTAATCTGAAATCACAAATTCAGTTCTACATCTCCAGACTGTATCAGTTCATTTTTTTCCACACATGCAGATGTCTAAGCAACAGACGTCTAAGATCCTCTTTGTAGTGCACAACACAATTATTTTTCCAAGCCTAAGGCCTAACATTGAACATTTTCCCCTGTAACCTTTTGCTTTTATAAAAGGGCTGATTTTTCACATATTTTCTAACCTTTTCAAGGTTTCACAGCAAGCCATTCAAATAATGAAAGGAAGGATAAAACCCACCAGCAACATCATTATCATAAGGATAACAAAAATGGCAACACTAGGAAGAGTCTGTCCTTTAGAGCAATCCCTGGGAGGAGGCCCACTAGTGGTCTGGGAGCTCTTGGCAACTGGGCTGTGTGAGTGGTGGACTAGCATGTTGCATGCACATCCCCACTTGCATGAGCAAGCAGGTGAGCACATGCATATGTACTACATTTGCATGAGAAGTGGATGTGCCTGCATGTCACTCGCAGAAATATAGTTGTGTATGCATGCTTGCCGGATGCTTGCGAGCAACTGCCCCTCTCTCCCCCTCTGCCAGTCCACAAAGTTGGAAAGGTTGGTCGACTCTGCTTTACAGAAATGTCTTTTGAGTGGGAAGTGTACATGGGGGATGACTTTTGGACCTGGAGACTGACTGGAATAGTCTCTGAAATTTTCTTGGCAAGATTTTCAGAAATGGTTTGCTCGTGCCTCCTTCCTAGGGCTCTGAAAGAGTGACTGGCTGAAGTAACAATGAAATAGCAAACCATTGTTATTATAAGGATTTTGGTGGCATGTTTTGATTGCTCCTTCATATTAATAGAATAGAATAGAATACTTTATTGGCCAAGTGTGATTGGACACACTAAGTATTTGTCTTGGTGTAAATACTCTCAGTATACATAAAGAAAAGGTATATTTGTTAAGAATCAAGAATCATAACGTACAACACTTAATGATAGTCATAGGGTACAATCAACAATCAAGTCATACTAGGAAACAGTCAATATAAATCATACGGATACAAGCAACAAAGTTAAAGTGGGAGGGGATGGGTGATAAGGAGTGATGAGAAGATTAACAGTAATAGTAGTGTACACTTTGTAAATAGTTGAACAGTGTTGAGGGAATTATTTGTTTAGCAGAGTGATGGCTTTCGGGGAAAAACTGTTCTTGTGTCTAGTTGTTCTGGTGTGCAGTGCTCTATAGCGTCGTTTTGAGGGAAGGAGTTGAAACAGTTCATGTCCGGGATGTGAGGTGTCTGTAAATATTTTCACAGCCCTCTTTTTGACTCGTGCAGTATACAGGTCCCCGATTGAAGGCAAGTGGATAGTAAAAAAAATCTAGAAGTTTAGAGCTCATTCTGAGCTAGCCTGCCTAGTATTTTTACTTGTTTACTGAATAAAAAGGGGAGGGGAACGAATCCTCACATAGCTTCCAAGCTTTTCTTGCTGTGAAAGTCTTGGTCTCTCAATTCTCATCCCAGAATAATTGTGCCATCCAGTCAAGGTCAGGTCTTGCAGTCTTCTGCCCATAATAGGCTCATAATGTCATTGAATCAGATTTTGATAAAAACCTTGGGGTTGCTGTGATTTGTTGTGAGCTTCTGCAAAAAGCTCAGCTACCCAACTATCTCTGGGCTCAGTGGAAAATGGCAGCGCCCTTCGTGTAACTTACTGTTATTAAGCAGCTCCCTGCAATTTGTAACAGATTTGGATGTTATCTTGCTTGCATGCTTTTTATGTTACGCTTTTAAATCTTTTTGCTTGAGCTAATAATAAAGCTTAAAATCATTTTACTTACTGGAATGTTGACTGTCTCTCGAACAAAAAGAACCAATTGCCTTTTGGTAAACCAGTATTTTATCATACACAGCTGAATACAAAAAGCATCCAGGGAGCCATTTTGTGAGAGCATCCAAGGCATAACTTCAAAGTCTGTCTTGGATTTAAACTTAAAATATCTGAATCTCTTCAACTCATACAATATACACTTTCTCCTCATATTAAACATTTTCATACTTTAAAGCATAATCACTGCTGTGACACTTGCCAAATACTGGCCCAAGGTCATCCAGGTGGCTTCATGCATAAGATGGGACCAAAACTCATGGTCTCTTGGCTTCCGGTCACATGGTTTAACCACACCAAAATGACTGCCAAAGAAATGGCTTCTGATCAATAAAGAGGTCAGAACTTTTTGATGCATCCTCAGGGTAGAGGTGGTGCGGCAGAAGGCACCAGTTTGCCTTTTGGTAAACCAGTATTTTATCATACACAGCTGAATACAAAAAGCATCCATGGGAGCCATTTTGTGAGAGAAGGCATAACTTCGAAGTTTGTCTTTGATTAAAACCTAAAATATTTGAATCTCTTCAACTCATATGATGTACACTGGTTTCTCAAACACCTGCACACTACAGAGGATAAATATAAATGGATATATTTTGTTGATAATGTGGAGCCGCAGAATAACAATAACCTTGTAGCACTTCCTAGACCACTGGGGTTATTATGAAATTCAGGATAATTTTAATTTGCTACATTTCTTTTCTAACTGTTAAGCTCTGTGGCCATATGACAAGCTGACATGTATTTCAGAAACTTCACATGAGCAAATAATTAATCCAGATTTCTGGGAAGAATAATAGATTCCTTCTACAACAACATATCAGAAAGATAAAAAAGAGAAAGTGAAGCATTAAAGATACAGATAATGTCTGCAAAGGTGTCTTTCTAGACGTTTTCCTCCACCACAGGAATATCACTCCAAAAAATTATTCCGGGCAGATTGAGATCCTTGAGAAAATATTGTAATATTATATGATTTAATGGTCTTTGGAATATTGCATGATTTAATGGTCTTCAAAATTTCCAATAATTCAAAACTTATTTTTGTTTTTTAAACAAACCTGAGAGCGGAAGGAATCATCTGGAGATATAATGAGCATCTTGGTATTTCTGGCCAATATATTGCCAATCTTTATAAAGAAACCTACCTCAAGCTATAGAATTTCACTTACCTCACATCACTTAATTCATAATAGATGTTTCTGCTCTCATCCTTGATATATATTGCCACACTGGGAGACTCCAACATTTTCATTGTCAGTTGTTGGGGAAAGGCACTTACAAAGAGGGCACGAATAGTGTCTGTGCTTGTAATCTCATTGGGCATCCTTAACTGTTTAGTTTCATCTCCATACTGCAGATATAAAACCCCTAGAAACAAAAGGAACAAATAAAAATAAAACATAAGAAATTAATTCTCTGGGTTACTGATTATAATGTATCAAATCATACTAAGATTATATTTTCCTATAGTCCTTTACAACAGTTTTACTACAAGGTCCCAAAACTCACTACTTGCTGCAAACTCTGCAGTTTGATAAAGAAGTTTTTATACTGTGTAAACCAATATATTTGCCCAATTTGCATTTGAGAAGTAATGGAAGAGATGGTGCCATTTATATCTCAATCACAGGTAAAACTATCAATGTACAAGTAATCCTCTACTTACAACAGTTCATTTAGTGACCATTTAAAATTCCAGCAACACTGAAAAAGCAACCTATGACCATTTTTCACACTTGCAAACACAGCAGCACCCCCATGGCCACATGATCCAAATTTGGATGCTTGGCAACTCGCACATATTTATAAAGCACTGTCCTAGGGTCACATTATCACTTTTTGTGATCTTCTAACAAGCAAAGTTAATGGGGAAGCCAGATTCACTTAACCCAGAGGTCTCCAAACTTGGCAACTTGAAGACTTGTGGACTTCAACTCCCAGAATTCTCCAGCCAAGTTTGTGTATCCCTGATTTAACCGTTAAGTTAGTAACTTAACAACTTGCCACAATTGTGGCAACAAAGGTCTTAAAATGAGACAAAGTTCACAACTGTCTTGCTTACCAACAATAATTTTGGAGGACTACTTGTATTGACCATCAGGGTCCAGAGTCTTTTAAGTCTGGATGAGGTGGAACAGACTTTGACTGAATGTCTACGGCTGCTTGGATTCTCCCAGGATGGATTCTTCATTGCGACTATTACAATCTTTAAGTTTTGGATGAGGTTTTATTTTCCCAGTCAAGAGTGGTGTGCAATTTGGGGGTCCCTCTGGACTTGCAGTTACTGCTCAAAACATAGCTGTGTCTGGGAGGAGTTTTGCAAGCATTCATGTTATACACCTCTTTTGCCCTTTCCTAGAGTGAGAAGTTCCAGAATTCTTTACAATTGGAATAATCCAATCATGACATGACTCACACCCAGGCCATTTCATGACTGGATAACTGCAATCTGCTGTACATGAGGCTGCCCTTGAACACTACCCAGAAAGCTACATTTGGTTCAAAATGTAGCATTGCAAGCAGTGATGGATACCTCCAGATGTGGCCACATTGGTTGCAAGTCGGTTTCTGAGTGCAAATCAAAGTGTTATTTATTATCTATAAGGCCTTATATGTCTCAGACCTTGGATATTTGAGAGGTTGTTGTTTCCAATAATTTCTACCTGCTCATTATATAGCAGGTTGTGCCCCAGGTCCCATCCATTAAACAGTCACCTTGTGAGACCAATGAAGCCTTCTCTGCACACACACAAACACACACACACACACACACCACAAAACTGCATGACCCAGTGGTAAGGATGGTGCCATCTCTTTTGGGTTCTATAAAATGTTGAAAATCTGGCTTCCATTCCAGACCTGGGGTTGATGTTTATGATTTAATGTCCCTGTTTTGTTTTGTTGATTTTATAGTTTAGATCATTTTAGTCTGAGCTCTCTGATTTAATGCTTTAATGCAACAGTAAGGATTTCCCCAAGTCCAATATATAATCTCTTAGCTGCGCAAGCAATGAAGCAGAGAGTAATATGGAAGTGAGAAAAATATAGCATCATGACATAATTTGCTAAAAGGTAAACAGAGTGTGTCTACAGACAAATATCTGCATATCCAAAGATAATAGAGTATCCTTTACTCAGGACACAGATCTTTGGAGAAAAGCAGAATATAACGATAAATGCTTCCTGTAAAGTTGGATGAATCCTTTCACAGGCAGCAATTATTCTTGCCATCCTCAGCATTAACTTTTCCAGGGACAATTTCTGTACTGTTCTCGAGGTCACCTTCATGATCATTGTGGTAGTTCTAATCTAAACTTTAAGCATTACTTTCCATTAATTGTTCTCACCTAATTACAGGTACTCCATACAGTATAAGGCAAGACAAGAAACAAAAATACGTAATATTTTTGTCTTCACATACTTTTTAACACTATCCTCTGTATTTATGGTTTTTTAAAAAAACATGTTTTTATCTGGAATAAAGATATGTATAATTTTGCTGTAATCTTCATCGGGTCTGAAATTAAAACATTTAAACTGAAGTAATCATCCTACAAAAATGTGTGGGGTTGGGGTAAAAAAAATAACAACAATTGTATCATACTTATACAAACCCTACTACTCTAAGTCAATCTTATCCCTAAATTTATGACCATAGAATTACAATTCTAAGTGTCTGACATGGCTCTGAGATCTGTGCATTGCATACTGAATCTAACAATATCGTGGCACACAGTTTTCTAGGTGCACAATATTCCCAGCATGTTCGTTCCTAGACTTGAGAAAGTCTTATCAAACTTTGTGGACAATTTTAAGTCCCTTTCTTCAGCACCATCAAAACTTTGGTCATTGAGGGAACTTGAGGGCTACCTGTATTATAAAAAGAATATCAGTGAATGATTTTTATGTCATTTCAACAAATTACCATTGGTGATTTTCATTGTAATAGGAATACTTTAGGAGTATATATATTTTACTTCACATGGCAATTTTAAGTCAGTTTAGATCCTTACTTTTACCCAAATTGGGGTAATTTACTCAGATTTGGAAGTACTATGCTAGGATGTCAACCTTTTCAGCCAATAAATTATACAAGACAGAAAATTGGTGTCCCAGAACATCCAAAGGGCACCATGTTGGGAATACAGATGTTGATGTTCTGGAAGAATACATTGTCTATTCTCCTTGACATATGATACCAAAGAGAGCAGGAAACATTTGTAAAAGCATCTTGATGTAGGTGAGCTAAGGTACAACTCTAGGCACATGAATTTAGAACCAGATAATATTCTAAAACGTGCCAGGTTCAAACTCACTGAACTGGCCTATAAGAGATTTTTTTATGATGGGATCCTATTGCTCCTGTTAAAAGTTATACAATGCTCGTGAAAGATACTAGATGTAGCAATCACTTTAATTCAGCCAGGGCATTATAACTGCCTTTTTATACAGGAGCTTCTGGGTACACTGCTGAACAATGTTCATTAACATTGCTTGCATGATGTATGTTTACTGAGGACGTTGTGCCAAACAGTATTTTAGCTCCATTTATTGCCTTTTTTTCAGGTGCATTTTCAAGATATCTGCTTATATACAATGGTAGAGCAGATTAAAGCAACAGACAAATGTGATTACACAGGTTTATTTGAGACTGTATACATTTCATTCTTTCCCTGAGGACACATTCCCCAAAATAAACACATAAACATAATCAATGGTGCATAAACCATTTTTAAAAATCAGTAGCATCAGTCTAAATACTGATTAAGTTGGAAGAAGTATTTCTGCCCTGCAAAACATTTACTCAAAGATAAGGTATATTTCATTTTCAATCCTATTCATCCACAGAAGGAGGCACAGGAGGTTTATGAAAAAAAACTAAAGAAGAAAAATGTGGTCATATTTGTGCTAGGTAGTTTCCTGGGAGTCTTTTATTTCAAACCAGCAATTAAAGCTCATTATTTGGGCCTGTTTTCTTGAAGGCCTGCCAGTATTGGCTTTAAATATAATTAACTAGGACTTTCATGCATCAAGAAGTCAACAGAAAGGACAGGTGTGACATAGCAGAAGCTGCTTGTATTAAAACTCAATGGGAGAAAATGAGACCACCGTGGTAGTAATGGGGCAAAGATATGGAGTTGATAAGATCAGCCAAAAAGTATATGGGTCATGAACAACAATGATATTAAATCACCGTGTATGAATTAAACATTCTAAAATCTATTTCTGATACTATAGTGTGACCATTCCCAAATACATTCCCTTCCATTAATACATAACTTCAACACCCCACCATAGCTTAGTATAGATGTTGCTGAGAATTCTCTTTGTTGTGCTACTTGAAACATCAAGAGATTGTTATAATTTTACCCCCCCCCAAAATAGGAATGATGATCTCCCGCAAGACTTGAGTCTTACTGGTGGGGTCCTACAGTTACCACTTTTATACTCCTTATGCTAGACCATAGGTATCAAACCCGATCATGTCTCGTGACGTCATGGGATGTATTGCGACATTTTTTGCCTTTGCAGAGCTGGGGTGGGCGTGGCCTGCATATGATGTATCTGTCCCATGGGCCACCAGTTTTGCAAGCTAGACTATTTGAGGGTTTTCTCCATGGCAGAAGTTATGACTTCAACATACTGCTAATTCTCAAGTCACAATCTGAATTCAAAGTTTAAATGGTCAGCCCTACCTACCCACCCTCACATGGTCATGCTGTTGGTTCTGTGAGATAAAATTCCTCATTTCTGGTATCTCACATTAATAAGCTCCCTTTTTAAAATTCCATTTATATGTTCTACACATCTGAGGGTCTCCTTGGAAATATTTTGTTCAATGTATTGACTTATTCAAATTGTTTTTGGGAATATACCATAACGTTGACATTTTCTATACAGAAATAATAAAATCAACAATTTTAAGCAGAAAAAAACCCACCTTTTAAATCATTATAGAAAAGATGAACCAAGACAACACTAAGATTAAAAGTCTGCCCTCAAATCTACTCACACCCAAAAGATTAAGTGTTATGTCAATTTTATCCAGATGTATATCTCCAACTGATAACCTGGTGTGTTAACAGTAAACTTTTTCCCATCTCAGAAGAATTTGATTCCTCATTTGATTTGCTCTTCAAAATGAAAAGAAACACCATTCAAAATACATTCAAGACTTTGCGTGATAAGCAAAAGTATTGATGAGGGACAGAAGAGATGCCTGTTATGTGGGCTGAAATCAGCATTATCAACTCTGGTTACAAAGCCAAAGTTCTTGGAATGACATTGGTTTTTAACTGATGAATTGCCATTTCAGGTGTTTCTGTGCAGTCTCAATATAGGCATATAACAGCACAAGTATAAATATT